AAAAAAAGTGAGGAAAACAAAAAAAAAAAAAAAAAAAATAAACACATCATGGTAAAATTAATACCTTCTCAGCTTCGCATCGAAGCTAAAACAATAAGAAAATATTTTACCTATATATAAAATTTTAATACATAAAAATAATTTATAGAAAAATTCAAGTCAATCATTCTATAAAACTGTGAACCATTATTTATTTTTTTTTTAATATTCTTTCAAGAATTTAAGGATCTTTTCACATTGCTATTTTATTTTTATACAAATTAACAACCAATTAAGTAATTGACACTATGATATCGTTATATTTTATTCTCATAATTTTTCAAATTTAGGTTTTACTCATAGCGGACGACGCAAAATTATTTTTATCCGTGAACTCAGAATTTCAACTAATTGTTTTCTAACTGATATATGTAAATAGAATGGAATTATTTTTAGTATAAATAAATATTCTGTTGTGTCTTTTACCTTGAAAAAAGTTTACTACATAATTATAAAAAGAATACCAGTCTTCCATCTAGATTAGAGTCAACAAATAATTTAGGTGTTATTTTTTATACCAAACTCACTTTTATACTAGAAAAAAAAATGTACAAAATATTAAAATTAAAACTAGACTTATATAATTTACTTTTTCTTCAAAAATGCTCTATAAATTTTATTAAGCTGATTTCTTTAAATCTGTTTATTTTTCTGTGTATAGAAAATTAAACGGCATGAACTAACTATAGTAGACCCTAACTAGATAACAACGTTATCCTGGAATTTTATTTTATTTTTTTTTATTAATTTGTTGAAAAAAATGAGGAACATTAATGATATAGCTTTTTTGTATTACCTTCTAATAGTAATATGACTATTTAATAATACTTGACCGTCGAAAATTTTCTCTTAAAAAAGTTTGAGATTTAAAGTTTAAATCCCTTTAATATGCACACAAATTACAGATTTATTTTATTGAATAAAAATTTTATTTTTAAAAATTAATATAATACATATTTGGTTTACTCAAGTTTTAATAATTTATTAATTTTACATAAATTATGATATTATTATTATTAAATTCAAAGTTCACCTATTCTCTCAGGATAAATTAGAGCTCATCATGTTTTTCTATAGTTAATATATTTACTAAGATGTTTAAAATTCTCTCTAGGAAAATCAAAGTTTTTTCATTAGTTTTTATATGAATAAACCGCCTCTAATTGTCCCACCCTAAATGAGTACGTGACATTAGACGTACTCGTGTTAGTCTCTAAGAGGTAAATTATTCGTGCACTAAGTTAGTCTGAAACCTGTCCGAAGATGCGAACACTATCTCCTAGTGTCTTCTTAGTCAATCCTCAGATAGTCGATCAAGGGACTCTTTAAACGTGAAGTGTACTCTGAAGATATTGTGAATTATCGCAAGGCAGCTGACGCGCACCCGCTTGTCGTTTAGACGATGCTCGATGACAGCGCACTTCTCTGGAGGGCAGTTAGAGTACATTGGAAGTACGAGATACGAGTTGCACGCGTACAAGTCTTTTCTCCTCTTTAACAGGACGGGAGAGGTGCGGGTGGTCGGCAAAGCACGTTGTATCGGTGTAAAAGCTAAGGAGAAATGTTTATAGCCGGCACTGCCCGAACATGTAAAATGGCCCGAGATTGTACGCGTGTGCATAATATTGTAGGCATTATAGTACGGGAGACTGGCGTGCATCAATTACCACCGCAATATAAATCCGCGGTATCTCGTTGACACGTCCGACCACCATTTACGTACGCACGCCGATTTATGTATCAACTCAAGTCGGTATTATTATTATTATTATTACAATTTGCATTCCTATATTATTATGTGCGGTACGAAACAGTCGCGGTGGTCATCGGAAAGTCCTCGACGCGAATAAGCTGTGTCCATATGAGATACACAGTAATAATACATAACCTAGAGAGAACCGTACTTATGCCACGATGCAATCTGCTTTTACACCGAGTTGTTTACATATTATTATACCTACGTCAATGCCAGATGTACCCTGACGTCGAACAAGATTAAAAGAGATTGAGGAACACACGAATGCCGTTTTAAAATTATAAATATTAACATGTACAACTATAAATTGTACCATAGTTATTGCCCACCGGAATAATGAATAGGCGAGAACTCCCAACGAAAAGCATTAACATCCATTTTATGCGCCAATAAACGTGGTAATGAAACAAGAACCCTGATTAACACGTGATACTGTAATCTAATTGTAATTACATTTACAACATCGTGATTTATACTTGATAACTTATACTTAGAAATCGACCTTTAATAAATGTATAACTGTTATTTATTTATAGGTCGATATCTCAGTAAAAAATTCAAAAATGGGGAAAAAACCCAATGTTTTCCGTTTTATTTTCTAATAAGATATTACTATTTGTTTGTCGATCATATATTATTTTTATGATATTTACTTGTGTTGTTCGATGGTTTTATTTTTTGTGGCTGTCATTTATTTTCAGCTCTCACTTGACCTATTTTGTTCAACGATACGTCAAATTATTATAATTCGTATCTAGTTGAAGATATTACCCTCAAAAATTGAAAAAAAAAATCTGATTTATCAATTAAACAGTTACTTAGCTCGTTTTCTCCATAAAGATAATTAAAATCTCTCATTACTAATATTTTAAAAGTATTTACTATTGAATTTGGTTTAATATGATGTATTTTAATATAATTATTTAAACTACAAAATTAATTAATTTTACTTTGTAGATTATTATTTTTTTAACTCTATTGTGTGTGTTACTACCAGTTATTAATATTTTACATTTTTTGATAACATTTTGCTATATAAATAATTTCTAAAAAAAATGATTTTTAATTTCACTTGAATTAAACAATGGATTTTTACAATTATAATCAAATTTTATAATATGATCAAATGAGTATATATTTTTAACAACTTGCTTTGAAAGTGCTCCGGAAATACTAAAAATTATATATATATTAAACTAAAGCTTATATAATATACTTTATAATGGAAAAAAGCAATTCAAACTTTATTTTGTCTTCATGGTAAAAATGGCTTCTGTATGCTATTTTTATGTTGAAATTTTCGATTTTGTATGTTATTTTATTTTAAAATAACTTACAAAGCTTTTGAGTTAAAAAAAAAAAAATTTACATCTTTTGATTTTTATCCCATTTAGATTTAATAACTTTAATAAATATCTAGAACCCCATCACTGTACTCCCCTCTCGTGTGAAAAAATTTCTTATTCACATTAAAGTTTTTTACTATGTGATTTTTTTTTATGGCTCTCATTTATTTTCTCAGTTCTCACTTTTTTTAACGATAAAAATTGAAAAAATGTCCACTTTAACAATTAAAAAGTTACTTAGCCCATATAGACAATTAATATCATTCATTTTTAATGTTTTTAAAGTATTTATTAACGAATTAGATTTGATATGATAATAGGTTTTAACAATAAAATTAAACAGTTTTTCTTTGTAATATATTAATTTTTTACTTTATTTATGTGTTACTAACAGCCTATAATATTCCAAATTTTTTGGTAACATGTTGCTATATAAACCATTAATCTAAAAAAAATGATTTTTATTTTCACCTGAAATTAACAAAAAATGTTTACAATTATAATTATTTTTGATAATATAATCGCTTATTAAATTACAGTCCTTATAACTTTAACTATTTCAATTGGTATATACAAATAATTTATTTACAATTGTTGTTTAAAGTGAGTGTTAAGTGTATTTTTGTGTTCAATTATGTGTCGTAGTAATCTTCGTTGGTTTGTTATATGCAATTATAAGTAGTTAAATAATTACGTCATTTTGTATATTAAGTCGTATTATCATTTTATATTTTTTTTTTTGTTAATATTGCTATCAACATATGCTACCAGCTATTTTTACAGTGACTTTAACTCCCGTTTAAAACATTACCTAATTTCTTCATCCACTTGTTGGATATTAACCTCTAATAGCTTACTTTGAAGAATTTAACCCCGAGTACTTTTTCTAATATGTGTTCTCCTAGTGCAACAAATGCAATTTCAAGAAAAGTTGATGTCCATTCTGGTGTTAGTACGAAATGTTCAAGTACTACTTCTAATGAATATTTAATGCAAATTATTTTGTCCTTCAAAGCTGAAGAAGTCCTCGCCTCCAATAAAGCACTTTCTGACTCGCAATCTTTGCAGTTAAATACACTTAAAACAGAAATATTAAGTTTCTGAGCAATTGAGCGAATTCATAGCAGAGAATATATAATATATAATAAGAGAATATAATACTCAAAAGAGATATTGGTTTACTTCAGGAGAAAATTTTTTTTAAAGAGAAAAAGTCTTGAAGAGAACAACTCTGCTAAACCATCCACAATTACTAGCCAGGTTTTACAAGAACTATTTGAACGAGATCGTTGTTCTTCCAATGTGATTGCTTATGGTGTGTTATAGTCTATCTCTTTAACTATTTCTGAGAGAGTTTTACATGATGAATCCATGATTAAAAATATCTTTTTGCCGGTTATAAATTACCTTCCAACGAATCTCAAATTGAATCGGATTGAGAAATCACGTTCAGGCATTACCCGCCCACTTAAGCTAACTTATACTAACAAAGAAGAAGCACAATCTTTACTGTACCATTACAACGAGCTTAAGCGATCAGGTACTCAATTCCAAAATGGTTTTATTCTTGTCAGGGATAAAACCAAATTTGAACGACAACTATTACGTCCTTGTCACAATGATCTGTCGACTCGTACAGCTCACGGTGAATCAAATCTACGTATATATTATGAAAGTGGTGTTCCATTTGTGGTCAAATCAATTCCAAAAAACCGGGTCCGTGAAAACAATACCAGTCGACAAAAAGTGATTCAGCAAATTTCTCAACTTGCATAGTTCATGTATATTTTTATGATAAATGTTCTTTTTGTATAAATACCAAGTCCACTCTTAGTACTTTTATATTAGATTTCAACAATTTAAAAATTAATAAGTCTTGTCCTTGTGATTTACTTACAATTAACTATACTACGCCGAATGATAATATGTCTATTAATGAAAATTATAACTTAACTCATAATGTTCCGTTTGGTTTTTATCAAAACTGTCGTGGTCTTAGGACTGAATTGTTTACTCTTAAGTGTAATCTTGCCAGCTTTAATTATGTAATTCTTGTTTTAACAGAAACCTGGCTTAATTCTAATATATTTGATTCTGAATTATGTTTGGATAATTATAATGTTTACCGATGTGATAGGAGTATTTTAATGAGTAATTGTACTAGAAGTGATGGTGTCCTTATTGCTGTATAAAAAGAATTTCATTTACAAATTGTTTCTATCTCTAATTTAAGTATTGAACAAATTTATGTTAGTTTTAGTTGTAATAATGATAATTTTGTAGTTGGTGGTGTATATTTTTATCTTAACTCTCCTAGTCAATCCTACGATACTTATTCAAGCACAGTTGAAAATCTAGTTTGTTGTTATAGCACCCATAGTTTTATTTTTTGTGGTGACTTTAACTTACCTAATATTAATGGGTGTAATGATAATTTAGGTATTTTATATTCAATGGCTACTGAAAATAGAACTCATCCTATCCCTGAGACTTTTGCTTTCTTAAACTTATTTCAAGG